ATGTGGCTCTTTTGACTTTAAAGTGTAGCAGCAGCCTTAGGGAGATGCCCTATGGACTAGTTGAATGGTCAGTGCAAAATGCATAGACTGTTCAATTAGTCAATTACCTGCAATTTTACCCTAGTTATCACCAAATTATTTAAAACTATGAAACATAATAAATTATTCCTCAGTCATATGTGGGCACATGCATGTATATACACAAACATACAGATAACTGGTGGATTTTTTCCAAAATTTGGTTTTGATTTTTTTTATGAAATTTTGAATAGTGGCCAAAAGGAATAAAATTGTTTGCAAAAAATGCCCATTTTTTAAATCTGCTCTAATGTATATGCAACGAGTATATATGCAATACAACTTCTATTATCCAGATATATGTCTTATGGGACAATGCCTAAATTCAGATAATTATGGTTAGTTATTACTGAAGGAATTTTTATTGCAATGAATAGTCAGCAGGGCACAAAACCCTGTTTCAGAAGGCAGAGTAGTTGGATAATGAAGGCTGTATTGTACATACTATTGTCCATCTTGGGAAAGGCACTGGTTTGAGAGTACTGGAAACTAAAATCCTCTAAGCACAATCTAACTTTATCATATAAAAAGTGATAAATGTTTTCCCCTTATCAAGTTCTCTTCCTACTGAGCATTGTACATGAATCCTGTACATATGCTGATACCATGGGCTGCTGTGAAGGGTATTATGTCAGCTAGCTTTTACAAGGTCACTGTACTATGCACATGTATGACACAATGAAGGAAACTCAAAGAAAGCCATATGTATTGACATTAAGTCTTAAAGTATGCCATTCTATTTTTATCGCATGCAGAAAGGGACGGCGGTAATCATGTCTAAGTACTCATTTATTAAATATAGGTAATACTTAGTTTTTAAATAGAATTTTTGTCAGTAGATCTCAAAGTGCTTAACAAAGGTGGTCAATATCATAACTCCCAATTTTACAGATGGAGAAACCGAGGCAGAAAGGTGAAGGGACTTACCTAGGATCACCTAGGAATGCAGGAATAGAATTCCAGTCTCCTTAAATTGTTGTAAATTTAAGAATAAATATAGAGGTGTGACTAGACCTATATTATAGGACTATAAAGAATTAGGATCTTGGCATGAGAAGCAGAACATTAACCAGTCTACATCAAAGACAATCCAGATCAAATCTAACCTGGAACTGTAGAGGTTAGCTCATCACAGTGCCAAGACATTTGCCTTTGGAATTCCAGTCTTTCTTGTCCTATACTGTAACTCATGCCTGTAGTATCTGTCCATGATAACTAATTCTTGCTTTGCACCTCAACCTGCTGCACAGGGTTTGAGCAAAACGAGACATGTATGTTGGATAGTCTTCAAGTTTAGTCTTCAAGGAGCCCCACTAATTTTCATGAGGCTACTCATGAAAAAAGTACTTTCCGACATGAGTCCTGGTTATTTCTACCTCTCCGAGGCACGTCCAGCCCTTATGGGAGTGACTACAGAGAGCACAGCTTACCTCAAGCTGAATTTGACTCTCCCTCTATATCCATTTCTGATCCCTTCCCCCCTACAAAACAGAGACAATACTTACCTACGTCATGGAGGAGTCCTTAATCTGAAGATTATTTATAATTTGGGGAATACTGCATTGGGAGGTCTACCAGGATTGGCTAGGGCTGATTTTGAGGGGTTTAGGAAATCTGGGAAATTCCACTTCCTAGTCAGTAATTACATCAGTTGAAGCTGAATGAATGTGGGAAAGCCTAGGGACTTCAGTTTTATCAAGTGTTCAAGCTTTCACCTGTTTCTTCATCCAAACAAATTTGAAATTGGTGATGCAGTTAGTTGCATGATCTCTCTCCGGTAAAATGACCCACTTTACCTGGAGTTTACCCAGACCACAGTGACAAGGAGCTTGTTACATCTGAGAGAATTTTAGTGGAACATTGCTTCTTAGGAAGTGTCTCCTTTCAGTAATTTTGTCTAAGGTTAAACCAAGTGGACTTTGGTCATGAGTGCCTGTTAGCACTTTCACCAGAGTCTGCTCCAAAGCCCAGAAGGTCAATGGAATCTTTTCCTTGCCCAAAGGCTTTAGAGTAGGTCTCTGAATATTGTGCATGCAGATGTTTCTAGGAGTTTACCAATTATTCTTTGTTTAAATTAAACAGAAAAACTATTCTCCGTTGATAGCACTGAAGTGTAAATAAGCATCGCAGAAAGGGAAACGGCTATCGTATAGCTACATAGCCATAGATAGAACTGAAAGTACAAATACTTTTCTTTTCTCCAAATATCCAAACTCTTATGGACAATGAAGAAAGCCTCACAAGAGCTCTTTGAGATAGGTAAGGATTATTGCCATAGGTGACGCATGGTTGCACTTGGGAGGTGCACCATCCCCTACACCCCTGTCAAAATTTTAATTGCTACATTGGGTGCCCTCTGCCCCTCTGAGTGGCCCTCCCTGAACCCACTGCAGACTCCAGTCACCCTTAATTATTGTCCCCATTTAAAGTTTAAGGAATTGAGGTACAAACAAGGTATTTGACTCACCCAAGCTACTTTGCAAGAAAGAGACAAACATGTCTCTTTCACTAACAGAAACGGCTCCAATAAAAGATATTACTTGACTCACCTTGTCTCTAATACCCTGGGACTGACATGGCTACGCCACCTCTGCATATTCTTTAATAGGGCCGTTCATGAACATAAAGCCAAACATGTTTTAAAGCCTCTGTGTTTGCATACTCAGACAAGTGGGTGTGCAATCTCTTGTACTCACAAAAAGGAACATTTTAAAGAAGGAGAATTTAGACACCACACTACTTAGTATGAGTACCTAAAACAGCAGGCATAGACAATCTACCATAAAATGTGTGTGTGGGCAGCTCCTTAAAAACCTTGAAGTATATTCACCTCAGATAATGATGTTATTCCATCTTCCATTATGATTTTAAAGTAATAAGCATGACAGGCTAAATCCTACAGTCTTGCCTCAGTCACTATAATGGGAGTTTTGGTGATGGTATGGAGCCAAGGAAACGTAGCAATCATGAGTTTGCAGGTGCAAACCCTTGGCTATACTGAGTAGAGACATATCCTGAGTACATACTACAGAGGCTGGTCCAGGCTTATTTTTTTACAACCCTCCTCAAATTCAAATCCTACTGAAATTAATTGGGAATTTTGCCTTTGATTTCAGTTAGATTGGGATGTAGAATAAGCAATTCACAAGATAAGAGAATAAAATATGTAGATTTCCTTACTTCCCCCGGGTAGTTTCAAAGCTGGATTTTTTGAAGTCAGCATCCTTCTTAGTGCTGGTGCTGGCAGCGCTGTAGTAAGACAGCCTAGGAGATCTGTTCCCTGTTCTTTGTTGACTTTTAACAGTCTCTTGCTGGAGAGGCATCTTTCTAGGAATGGTCTGTGGAAAGCTCCCTGTGCTGTTCAGTAGGACACCTTGCTTAGCCTTAGCCCCACCATGATCTCTGTTTCCACTGGATTGTGTCGTAGGAGTGACGATTTTCTTTTCTTGGGTCTCTGGAAGGGTTTTCAACCCCTGAACCTTTTCCGTGGATGCAGGAGTGATTCTTACAGCATGTTCCCATGGTGTACTTGCTGCAGCTGTTCGGATCTCAGAAGGGGTGGACACAGGGATTGCCATCGGGTTTCTGAGGCTATGTGTTGTAGTAGGAGGTGAAGTAAAGTCTGCGTGGCTTGGTTGGGTTTCACCATCCCTACTCATGGGCCAGGGCTTGCCAGTGGTAGCAGATTCCAGGCTGCCACTCTGTAAGTGTGACAGAAGCAATAAGAAGATTATCTCCTTCATCCTGTGCTGCTTGGAAAAAGCCATGAGATGTCTCACGTTTTCGTTGAGTGAGGATCCTGCAGCCGTCTCCTCCTCCTGAGCTGCAGAATGAATCTGCACAAAGAGTGATCTGCCAGTTTTGTTTCTGTAGAAAAGGAAACAGGTTTTCAGTGTTTCAAAACTCACGGAGGAAGCTCTATTTCCTGTTTCTGTGCATTTCTCTGCAACCTGTGACCCTCTTGGAGGTCTAGAGCCTGGAAAGAAAAAAGGATTCTTTGTAGAAGCTACCAGATGAAGATTAATGGCACAATGTGAATGTCAGTGAAATCAGTCTGAAGGGAAAAACATCAAAATGGTTAAGTAATTTCCCTTTCACACGTATCCATGTACAGAACATGAATTGTTTGTTAAATGTGCCCCTTGGTTTTTCATATTTGTCATGAACTTGCTATTGAATTACCTAAAAAGTGCTTGATGGATTTCGATACACTTCAGTATGCTGGTACATTATGTAATGTTTGCTGTGTTTCTCACTGAGGTTTCAATAGTCAAGCAAACAGCAGGAATGGAGATGTCTTTGCACTAGACTGAAAAATATAAATATATACAATAAAACATTAAATGCAATATCTTTATTTATTTGCCATTGGCTAATGCCTACCCTAATCTTTGAAACATTAGCCTTCAGGACCAGAGCATTGTGAAATTTATAACAGGGAATGCTGTATTTATCAAGGAAGAATGACAGGTCAGATCATAGAGATCCCCTTGAGACTGTCATTTGATGTGCTGATGATACCTCTGAGCCCACCTACCTACCCTCTGGGACATCCCACCACCCCGTCCTACTGGGTCAGAAGCTTTGGTCTCCCACAGCAGAGTCATTGAGTTGGGGTAACAGCTCCCCAGCAGAGTAATACTGACACTGATAACAGCTCAGCTCTAGGAGGGCTCAGATACAGGGTGTTGACAGCACCCAGAAACACAGCCCCAAAAGGGACCCAAACCCTAAATGAATCCATCTTCCTCTGTATAAAAGGTTTACACAGAGAATCCTCCTAAGATTTGCCCCCTTTATTGATGAGAGAGCGAGAGATGCACAGCTGTCATCCTCCCTCCTCCCCCTAACAATTATTTACACTGGGTTTGATAATAAATGAAAGTGATTTTATCAAATATAAAAATTAGGATGTATGTGGTTGCAAATTGTGACAGACAGATCAAAGTAAGTTATTAAGCTAAATAAAAAACCCCACTCCAGCTAAGCCTAATACAGTAAGAGAAATTGCTACAAAACAATTCCTCACTTTACTCCTTATTTCAGGTAACCTTTTTCAAGCTAGAGATGATCTTTCCTCTGACCCGGGTCTAACAGCTTCTCCCCTTATTAATGTTCTTTGCTTCTAGGTCTCTTCCGGTGTCAGCTTGTGGAGGGGAGCAGTTTGTGAAGCCAGCTGAATACAATCTTTGCTTCTCATCCCTTAACTAGAATTTCCCCAGGGCAGGAATCCTTTGTTCAGTTCTCCCCCACTCCCTTAGAAAAATACCATATTAAAGGTGGATTTCAGCACCAGGTGGCAGGGTCACATGTCTCTGTACGACCAATGAAAGTTTAATTATTGAATAGAGCATATAGTGGAGTATGTAGCAGGGCTACCGAGAGAATAGAGAGAATAAACTACCTTACCCTGTTGAAAATGTGTGTCTGTGTGTCCCTCATCCCCAGCCCTGTCCCAGAGGCCTCTGCCATTGCCGTTGCCACAGGAGCCTCCAGCCCCTCCTCTTCTGCCCAAGGCCCTGCTTCTTCTGAGACCCAGGCCCGCCTCAAGCTGCCCAGGGACCTGGCCAGTCTGTCGGCCTCCCATCAGAGTCTATAAAGAATGGTATGTACTTTAAATAAAAGCAAAGACAGAGAAGGGAAAAACAATTTTGGGCTTAACATTCCATGGCCTTGCCCTTAGTATAGCCATTTACAGTCAAGCCAAGTGAGAGTTTTGGGGCTTTGGGAATTATCATAGCCCATCCCCTACACGTTCCTTCTGGCTGTCTCCATGTTTCTTAAACAAGTAAAAGAGGTTACCAAATACTGTAGGCAACAAGGACTGCCTGCTCTGCAGCGAAACCTCTTCCCCAGGAGCTGGGCTGGCAGGGGCAGGCAGTCCCACACCTGGAGTGGGGAAGCGGCAGGGCGGCTGCATGTTGAATCAACCTGCTTGACGGGATGGATCCAGCCCATGCAGGCTCTCTTGCCCACCTCTGACATAATGACTAGTTTTCATATTGATTAGCCCTTCTTTAGTAAGTAGTTACATGACCCTGGGAGGGCTGGAGAATATATTTAGCTATGTTAGGGTATGTCTAGACTAAATGACTCTGTCGACGGAGCCATGTAAACTAGTTTACCCAGCATAGGCAAAGAAGCGGGGATTTAAATAATCCCCGCTTCATTAAAATAAACATGGCCGCCGTGCTGTGCCGACGATCAGCTGATCTGGCACAGTGCAGCAGTCTAGATGCGGATCTGTCGCCTGGGGAAGCCTTTGCTGACCAATCCCTTATGCCTTGTGAAACGAGGTTTACAGGATCAGTCGGCAAAGGCTTCCCCAGATCCGCATCTAGACTGCTGCCCTGTGCCGGATCAGCTGATCGTCGGCACAGCGCAGAGGCCATGTTTATTTTAATGAAGCAGGGATTATTTAAATCCCCACTTCTTTGCCTATGCCAGGTAAACTAGTTTACATGGCTCCGTTGACAGAGCCATGTAGTCTAGACAAACCCTTACTGTTGGCTTTTTTTTCATGCAGACTGAATCTTTAAATGTTTAGAAGTCTGCTGTGTGATGAAAACATTTTTCAGGTTGTTTTACGGAGACACAGTCTGTGTTCCTTTCTAATCACTGCTCTTTCCTCTCTTCTTTCTTGTTTTACTGTTTTGTCTTTATTTAAACTTTCAGTTGTCATTCGTGTTGAAAATATATTGATACTCTTTGAGAATGCGAACAGGTGAGTGCTAACGGAGTTTAGAGAGGGAGTTCTCCAGGAAGAGGAGAAGCAGATACAGGAGTCTTGAGGGAAGTGTGTGTTGTGTCTTGGGCTTTCTTGCTGTGTGCTGAGCTTGTGTTTGTGAGTGAGGGTTGGTGTGTGTGTGTTCTTTTTTTGTTTTTGTTTGTTTGTTTGTGAGTGAGGCTTCCCCCCACCCACCACCACCACTTCCCCTTTGCCCTCATCCTCCCCTTCATGGAGTGTGTGATGTGATTGGCAGGTGGAAACTGTTGGCTTCTAATTAAAGTTTGAATTCTAGAAGCCTTTGCTGATTGGCTGAGCCTTGGTGAAAGGAGGGGCTTTCAGGCACTCCAGGGCTTTATAAGAACATAAGAACGGCCATACTGGGTCAGACCAAAGGTCCATCTAGCCCAGTATCTGGTCTACCGACAGTGGCCAGCACCAGGTGCCCCAGAGAGGGTGGACCGAATACAATGATCAAGCGATTTGTCTCCTGCCATCCCTCTCCACCCTCTGACAAACAGAGGCCAAGGACGCCATTTTATCCCCGGGCTAATAGCCTTTTATGGACCTAACCTCCATGAAATTATCTAGCTTCTCTTTAAACTCTGTTATAGTCCTAGCCTTCACAGCCTCCTCTGGCAAGGAGTTCCACAGGTTGACTACAAGCTTTTATTAGTTTTAAACCTGCTACCCATTAACTTCATTTGGTGTCCTCTAGTTCTTCTAATTAGGGAACTAATAAATAACTTTTCTTTATCAGCCCTCTCCACACCACTCAGGATTTTATAGACCTCTATCATATCCCCCCTCAGTCTCCTCTTTTCTAAACTGAAAAGTCCCAGTCGCTTTAACCTCTCCTCATATGGGACCCGTTCCAAACCCCTAATCATTTTAGTTGCCCTTTTCTGAACCCTTTCCAAGGCCAAAATATCTTTTTTGAGGTGAGGAGACCACATCTGTACACAGTATTCAAGATGTGGGCGTACCATAGTTTTATACAGGGGCAGTAAGATATTCTGGGTCTTATTTTCTATCCCTTTCCTAATAATTCCTAGCATCCTATTTGCCTTTTTGACCGCCGCTGCACACTGCGTGGAAGTGTTCAGAGAACTGTCCACGATAACTCCAAGATCTCTTTCCTGATTTGTCGTAGCCAAATTAGCCCCCATCATACTGTACGTATAGTTGGGGTTATTTTTCCCGATGTGCATTACTTTACACTTATCCACATTAAATTTCATTTGCCATTTTGTTGCCCAATCACTCAGTTTGGTGAGATCTTCTTGGAGTCCCTCACAGTCTGCTTCTGTCTTGACTATCCTAAACAGTTTGGTATCATCTGCAAACTTTACTACCTCACTGCTTACCCCTTTCTCCAGATCATTTATGAATAAGTTGAAAAGGATTGGTCCCAGGACTGACCCTTGGGGTACACCACTAGTTACCCCTCTCCAATCTGAAAATTTACCATTTATTCCTACCCTTTGTTTCCTGTCTTTTAACCAGTTCTCAATCCAAGAAAGGACCTTCCCTCTTATCCCATGGCCATGTAATTTACACAAGAGCCTTTGGTGAGGGACCTTGTCAAAGGCTTTCTGAAAATCCAAGTATACTATATCTACTGGATCCCCCTTGTCCGCATGTTTGTTAACCCCTTCAAAGAACTCTAATAGATTAGTAAGACAGGATTTCCCTTTACAGAAACCATGTTGACTTTTGTCCAACAAATTATGTTCTTCTACATGCTTCACAATTTTATTCTTTACTATTGTTTCGACTAATTTGCCCGGTACTGAAGTTAGACTTACCGGTCTGTAATTGCCAGGATCGCCCCTTTTTAAATATTGGTGTCACGTTGGCTACCTTCCAGTCATTAGGTACAGAAGCTGATTTAAAGGATAGGTTAAAATCCACAGATAATAGCTCAGCAATTTCCCATTTAAGTTCTTTTAGAACCCTTGGATGAATGCCATCCGGTCCCGGAGATTTGTTAACATTAAGTTTTTCTATTTGTTCCAAAACCTCCTCTAATGACACTTCAATCCGGGACAGTTCCTCAGATTCATCACCCACAAAGGACGGTGCAGATTCAGGAATCTCCCCAACGTCCTCAGCCGTGAAGACTGAAGCAAAGAAATCA